CTGCTTCTGAGACATCGGCGTGGTGGGATCGACCTTGAAGGAGGCTCATAACGTGGATCAGTGGAATAGATTCTCATAATCAGGCCATTTTGAACCAGAAAGTCCAGTAGGACTCAAGGTTGAGGAAAAAAATATGTCTGCATGAAGAAAATCAACAATTAAAGCATATCTGAATCTGACTCTCCATTGGCCTCAGAGACGGGCCGATTATCAAACTTCTCCTGGGTCATGGGTAACCAAGGATATCCCCCCCCCCCCCCCCGGTAACTTTCTGTACAAACTTATCAGAACTGCTGGCTGAAATAACATCATCAGAACTGTGTCCGATCTCAAAAACGCTCATGGACAAATCTCAACACCTTGACGTCCAATGCATATGTAATCATTTTTTTAAGTGCTTGCTGGTAGTTTTTTTTGATGTCTCAAATCGTGTCCTGATAGACAAGATGTGAAAGATCTTTTTTTGTAATACCACTATCTATCCTCATGGCTCTTCCCTTTTTCCTATCTAAAAGTATTATTTTGAATAAGAACAAGAAAGGCTGCACTTATAGCAGTAGCTTTGTGCACTACGTCCATCTTCCGGACGACTGTACAAACATGTTCTCGTTGTATCTCGGTGGATTTTAAATGGTGATTTTAGTCTTTAATCGCACAGACAACTGAGGAATCAGCAACACATAAATACACCAACTTGATATACTTAAACTGTTGTTTTCATGCATTGAAGTGGATGAAAGTAACAAAAAAGAAAGGAACCAATATCCTGATGCATTCTCAATAATCCAGGTAGAAAAAATCTAAAAAAGTAAAAAAAAAAAAAATGTAGAAACATTTCTTCTTTCATCCGAAAGACATCCTCAGTCTGAGGTGCTGTATTCAGCTCAGTCTTATAAATAGCACCTTATCATAGTGGATCAACCAGTTTGCTGATGACTGCCAAACCAGCTGCTCACATAATCAAGGGGGACCATCAGCCTAACGATGGATCATTAGCAACTCCTCTCTCAAACCATTGTTACTCTCTATCAAGGATGTAAACATCTTCATCCCTGAAAGAGTGACCGCTGGCCTGGAGATGAGCGTAGACTGCAGAGTCCTGGCCTGATGATGTTGATCTTCTGTGCTGGCCCATCCTTTTGGCCAGTGGCTGTTTAGTTTCCCCAATGTAAGACTGATCACAGCCCTCCTGACACTGAACAGCATACGCAATATTACTATGTGCCGGGGGACTGGATCTTTGGGATGAACTAGTCTTTGCCATAATGTGTTTTGGGGTTGAAAAGCCACTGGGACGTTATGTTTAGAAAATAAACATCTCAGTTTCTCTGATACTCCCGCAACATATGGAATGACCACTGGTCTGGGTTCCTCCTTTTCACCTGATGGCTGGCTGGAGTCCTGTTCGGGTTTCTTCTCTGCTTTCAGGAAGGCCCAGTTATGATATCCACATTGCTCTAGAGCTTGTCTCATGTGAGATTTCTCCTTCTGCCTAGCTCCTGAGTTAGTGGGGACGATGTCTGCTCTGTGGTACAGAGTCCTGATGACTCCTAACTTGTGCTCCAAAGGGTAATGGAAGTCAAACTGCAAATACTGGTCTGTGTGGGTGGGTTTGCGGTACACCTCAGTTTGCAATTATACTCTCACAGAAACTGAGACCTCCCAGTTCAAGAAAGCCAGCCTGCCATTTTTTTACATCTTTTCTTGTGAACTTGATATATTTATCCACAGAGTTGATGTGATCAGTGAAATATTGGACTTCCTGAGATTTAATTTTAACCCAGGTGTCATCAACATACCTGAAGCAATGACTTGGTGCTGTCCCTGAAAAGGAAGTCAAGGCTCTCTTTTCTATTTCCTCCATGTACAGGTTGGCAACAATAGGAGAAACTGGAGACCCCATAGCACACCCATGTTTCTGCCTATAATATTGGCCTACATATGTGAAGTAGGTTGACTGAAGGCACAGTTTCAAGAGTTGACACATTTGCTCTATGGAAAGCGTGGTCCTGTTGCTCAGAGTTGTGTCTGATTTTAATCTTAAACTGACCACCTCTACTGCATCATCAACAGGAATGCACGTAAAGAGTGATGTGACATCAAAAGAGACAATTGTTTCATCGGTCTCCATGATGGCATCCCTCACCTTATCCACAAAGTCCATGGTGTTCTTTATGTGGTGTTCTGCGCTTCCAACTAAAGAGATGAGTACAGACGCCAGATATTTGGAAACATTGTAAGTGACCGAGTTAATCATGCTGACAATTGGCCTTAAACGTACACCATGTTTGTGAATTTTAGGTAAACCATACATACTAGATGTGGCCTCACCTGGGTACAGTCTGCGGTACAGAATACGGTCAATAGCCTTGTCCTGCTCCAAAATTTTCAGGCAATCTCTCAACTTCTTCTTGTAGTCACTTCCTGGATCTCTTTTCAGTGGCTCATAAGGGGTTAAGTCACTAAGGAGTGTCATAACATTTTCATGATAGTCTTTCTGGTTCAAAATCACTGTGCACCTTCCTTTGTCTGCTGGGAGAATGATGATGTTTTTGTCCTTGCTAAGAGTGGTGAGTACATCCCTCTCCTCTCTACTGATGTTGGAAGGTGGTGGTTTGGCATTGCTGAGGCAGGCTGAAACTTTGATTCTGAGCTCCTCTGCCTCACACTCTTTAATTTTGTTGTTGCGGATGGCTGAATCAGTGGCTGTGATCATCTCCACCAGAGGAATTCTTCTTGGTGCAACCGCAAAGTTCAGTCCCTTGGCAAGAATATCTGTCT